ATTGTTGATCTCTCAAATATCAAATGAAATGATATATATATAGTTCTCAACCTTGAGAACCAGTAAAACATCAGATTTATCCACAAGGTTTGTTAAAATTCAGAAACAAGACCCCACTCCCAGTTTCTGATTCTGTGGATTGATGTGGGGCATGAAAGTTTGCATTGTATTTCCTTTTCTCTTCTTTTTCTTTGTGTTTTATTTCTAACCAGTTGCCAAGTGATGCTGTGGTAGGGGTTGTGGGCGGGGGGGTGGTTCTGACATGACAGGAGGAAGTACATAGCGAAGCAGTGGAAACTGAAAGGGAAGAGTGAGAAAAAAGAATGTCTTAGGATAGAAGCAATGTCCATTTGAAGACTTGCTCTCCCTGATTGGGAGTGAAGGTTGACTTCTGAGCTGTGCTGAGAAGTCCCCCTGGTAGAGAGGGCCACAGGTCACTTACAAAAGCTTGTCCAGTGATCTGCAACCAGGTCTCCTTGGAGCTTTGGGCCATATCACTGTGCCAGTAGACACTGTGACATGCCTACAGAGAGTGTGAAATCAGTGAGCAGAGCTTCGCATCCTCAATTTAGACCAAGTAAATAGTGGTCTGAGCTGATGTGATTAACTGCTTGAGTTCTTAACATTTTAAAACCTGAATGTCTGGCACTGTGAGAAGGGACTGCCTGCAGTGTGCCTTTGTCCCTGAATCGGTCTTCTCATCAAGGGGTTTGCTCAGGAGCTGACAGCTTTTTTCGAGGGACTGTTCTTTTCTATGCTGTGTACCTACTAAAATACAAAAAGCCTGACATTCCTAGGAAGTTTGTGTGTAGATCACAAGACTCATGTAAAATTCACTGTTGCTTTTGGTAACAAGTAGCAGAAAAGTGTACTAACAGTGATTCACAGAGGGGTTTATTTTTCTCACTTAACATGTAGGGCAGAGGTTAGTAGTTGCTGGTACTGGTTTGGCTGATCAATGATGCCAGTAAAACACTGAGTCTTTTTACTCTTCCTCTTCATGAGTGTTTGTTACCTCTTCATTACAAAATAGCTGCTGCAGCTCCGAACATCCATATTCAAACCTAGGTAGGAGGCCAGGAAAGTTATTTGCTGTGTACACTGCCGCAGAGGTTCTCTTGACAAGAAAGAAGGTACTATGTGCTATGCCCAAACTTCTGTTTCTTCTGGCTGTTGTATTTTACACAAGGTATTTCTTGATTCTCTTCCACTAAATAATTTTTTAATTTTATTTATAAATGGAGCATTGGAAATGTATACACTATGTTTTACATGATGATAAAGAAATGGAGACATTCTTAGAAATGGTTTTCTAGGTGTGTCTGGGTGGCTCAGTTGGTTAAGTGTCTGACTCTTGATCTATGCTCAGGTCTTGGTCTGAGGATTGTAAGTTCATGACCCATGTTCGGCTTCACTTAGGTGAAGAGCCAACATAAAAAAAAGAAAGTTTTCTGGAGGAGCTTCAGGAAAGCCAAGAACCTCTTGAGGAAACTTATTTGGAATCATTTATTGAAGTATTAGTAATCTTAGAAATATATGTAGAGAGTATATATTTCTAATTTTAAGGAGATCTTACACATCAGTAATAAAAGCATTGCCCAAAGCAGGCTAAGTTTTATGCCTTTTCCTATCAAATTATTTGTACAAACAATGGTACCCAATCCTGATGAGATGCTCCTGTGCTGTTGCCAAGAGTATACATTGGTACCAATTCTTAAAGCCTTATAAAAAGCATAAAGAACCTTAAACGTATAAAAAGCATAAAGAACCTTTACTAAAATCCCTCTCTAAGGAAGCTTTCTTAATGAAAAAATTAAAATTATGGACCAAGTTGGTCCATATGAAATAATAGATTATTCCAGGAGTATTTACATTTTTAACAATATTTGCAAAAAATGACAAGACTAATTAAATTAGGTGATCTCTCCATAGCTTGTTAAAAATAAGAATGCAGTTGTTTAAACCACATTATTCTCATTTTGTAATGTATAGATGTATTTAAGTACTTAAAAGAAATATGTCACATTAAAACATTTTTTAAAAAGGGGGGGTGGGGGTGCTTGAATGACTCAGTTGGTTAAGTGTCTCACTTTGGCTCAGGTCATGATCTCATGTTTCGTGGGTCTGAGGCCCGCATCAAGTTCTGTGTTGACAGCCTGCTTCAGATTTCCTGTCTTCCTCTCTCTCTGACCCATCTCTGCTTGTGCTGTTTCTTTCTTTCTCTCAAAAATAAAATTAAAAAAATTAAATAACAGAAATGCGTCAAGTATTACCAATAGATATTTGAGGATTATGGGGTTACATGCCATTTTTCCCTTATTTTTTTGCATTTTCCAATTTTCCTATAATGAATATTATTTCTACGATTATAAAATTTCACTTTATTTTTTAAAGGAATATATAAACATGAGTGTATTTGAAGAGATCCTCATTAGGAAGAAAGAATAGGCAAAAAAATGCCTTGATCCAAGAATTTTGGCGGGCTCTTCCTCACTTGAAAAGTAGATAGACGAGGGAAGTGTTACCGAGTGTTTTGTTCCTCTGGAGTTTTGGCATTTCTCAGTTCTGCCACGAAGGGGTTGTTAAGTGGAAGTTTGTAACAACAGTTCATTCGTTTTATTTTTCTCTTTCTAAGAGGACTTTCTGCTTTGCTTTTCTGTGATATGTGTAGTACTGAGGTCACTAAGGACAGTAACTAAATTCAGAAGGGGAAGGGAACCAGTGTAAGGAAACTGTCTTAATTTATCCAGATAACCAAAGTTAACTCATGTAAGCTGAGATCATTGTCTCAGCGCATAATTATCCCTTTTGCTCAGTATGTATAGAAAATGGGGCCCCAGTATGCCTGAGCAGGAAACTAATTGTCTCTCTTCCAAGATTGATTAATAAATGTGTAAGTATGTGTAAACCCTCCATATCTCCCCATCTGGGTGAGGGCATGGGAAAAGAGGTGTTTCTCCTGACATTTGTCTTTCCTTTGGGGTATCCACCACACAGCATGTGAAGTGTTCAGATCTAATAGTCTGTCATTTGCTGGTTGAAAACCCTTGGTATAAAGTCACATACCTTTAGAGCTGGAAGAACTTTATGAATTCCATTTCAATGCATCTCTCATTTCTTACCAGGTACTTTAACATATATATGAGATTCCTAAACTAGGATATGTTTTTCCCTGGGTTATGCCCTGAGTCAGGAAGCCCTTGAAGCCTCAAGATCTCTAGAAAGATTCACCATGTTTACCTCCTGACTTCACATAAGTCCTTGACATGGTGTTAATAAGAAGATAGCTGTATTCATGTTTCATTAGTCAATAGCATTGCTTAGCACATGAAAGAATGTGTCATTCTAAAAGCATTGGGTTTTTGTTTTGTTTATTTGCGTTTGCATGGAAATTAATCTAAAATCCTTTGGTATGATCTTTTTTTAACTTATTTATTTATTTTGAGAGAGAGAGAGAGAAGAAAGTGCATGTGCATGAGAGCAGGGGAGGGGCAGAGAGAGAAGGGGAGAGAGAGAATCCCAAGAGGCTCTGCAGGTCAGTGCATAGCCCAACATGGGGCTCAAACTCAAGAACCTAAATCATGATCTGACCCAAAATCAAGAATCAGGTGCTTAAAGGACTGAGCCTCCCAGGTGTCCTAGTTTAATATTAACAATCTAGCCTTTAGGGAAGGGGAGAGTCAGGAATTATGTGTTGTCATTGTAGAAAAAGTGAAATGTGTAGCATGGCCAATTCCAACCCAGAACTCTCACAGACAAGGATATGGCCTAATGGAGGTAGGTGGGTAGAAGGGGAAACTTTGTACTTTGGAATTTAGAAATGGTCTTTTTTTTTTTTTTTATTTTGAAGCACTACTGTGATTTTAAGGTGCTCTTTCCTCTTTTATATACTAATTCTTTAAATAAGAAAATTGTTGAAAAATTCTGTCTTGGGATTGATAAAAACAATGTGTTGGGTTTCATTATACCCCATAGATAGCTAAAATAGTAACCTGTCCCCTGAATACTAGCTGTGTAAATGACACTCCCATTTGGATGTTTAATAAATGTCTCAAACTCAAAAGTAGAACTCTTGATTTCCCCACAGCCCACATATCACCTCTTCCCAAGTGTTCTCTATCTTAGAGCATGGAGCTCCCATTTACCTAGCTGTTCAAGCAGAAGTTCTAAGATGTAATTCTTTGCTTTTTCTTCCCCACAATCTGTCAGCACTTTTTGCTAACATTACTCCCAAATATATCCCTAAATCACTGACTTCTCTCAATCACTGTTGTTACCATCTTGTTCATATCACTGTCATCTCTTATCTGGACCATTGCTCTGGTCTTCAAACCCATCTTCTTGTTCCCTTATGATCTATTTCCTACCAAGCATGAAGAATCATCTTTTTATTTAGTATTACCCTGTTTAAAGTCACTCATTGGGTTTACTTAGTAGTTAGAACAAAATCTTTACCCCTCAACCTGGTTTACACAGCCCCTTGGAGGCTGGCCCCCACTGCCACTTTGACCTTAGTTCCTACCTCTATCCCCAAACACCATTCTCTGGACCCTATGACTTTAGGTTGAGCATGCCAGTCTGTCAACCTGAGGGTCTTCCCCTGCCAGGAATGAGTTTTCCAAGGCTGGTTCCTTCTAATATTTAGAGTAAAATGCTCTGTTAAAGGTTATTCCCCACAGAGGCCTTTCCTGACCACCTGATTATATAGGATGCTCCACCCCGCCCCCTAGAGATACCATTGCTCACACCGTTGAATATGTCTATTCAAATTACCTAGATAGCATTTATATCCACCAACACTACCACTAATGCCTACCATCAAATATAGGACCCACTAGAGCAGGGGCCTCATCTGCTTTTTCATCATTGTGTTACCAAGACCACAGAGGAGTTTCTTAATAATGGATTTGCATGAATAGCTGTTTTTCATATGCTTTGTCATCCAGATGTCTCTCAATTTGGAAATCAATAGGTTGTTTCTGCCTGTTCTGTTTCTACAGCAGACTGGACTTTATGAGTATAAAGTCTTTGGTGTTCTGGACGATTGCCCACCAGATTTATTCGCAGCTGTCTATATGGACTTAGACTACAGAAAACAGTGGGACCCATATGTTCAAGGTGAATAACATCTATTTAAAAAAACATCTAGAAAGTAGAATCTATTGTTACTTATTCTAGCTAGTAGAAAACAACAGGTTTAATTTCTACTATGTTATATTTTATTTAAAATTTTGGCATGAAAGTCTTAAGTGTTGGGCTGAAACGTGCCTTTGTGATTCCTTGCATTCCCTTAGCTACCACTCTCCAATTTGCTCTGGGGGCTACTTTGTTCTCACTGTAAGTTCATCATCATCTCACATATCGAGGTAGTCATAGGTGGCTTCTTAGAGGAGGTGGTGTCCAAGCTTTGGTTTGGAAGTTGAACCAAAGTTTTATCAAGAATAATAATGCATATAGGTTTGAGGGTGAGAAGGTGAGGGGATGGGTGGCTTGAGGCCATTTGAGGCCCAGAGAACAGCATGAGTAAAAGGGAGGAAGACATCAAACAGTATGGTATGTTCAAAAACTGTGAGCAGTTTGTTTTTATTGGGTTGTTGGGGTAGCAGATCTAGAGGTAGAGTGGGAGGAAAGGCCGAGAGGCCAAAGGCAGCAGTCTGGCCACCAGGCTACAGTTCTTAGACTTTGCCCTGAAAGTGATGGACAGCTATGAAATAGGAGGTCCTTCTGTCACGTAAAGTGGGGGTGGCCTCTACCAAATCAGTTATAGTGGAACAGAAGTGCAGAACTAGCCAAGGGGTACCTAAACTCTGAAAGACCCTTGCTATAGTCAACGTTCTTTGTTACAAGCAACAAAAAGTTAACAAATGCTAGTGAAAGAAATGGAAAAAGAGTTTATTGGTTCATGGTATTGAAAAGCCCAGGAGTTTCTAACTACCAGGACAGCTGCATGTAATTTTTTAAAATATGTTGTATATTTATTTATTTATATATATATATTTATTTATTTTTTGAGAGAAGAGAGAATGAACTGGGGAGGGGCAGAGAGAGAGAGAGAGAGAGAGAGTGAGAGTGAGACAGTAGCTCCAAAGCCGGCTCTGCACTGACAGCAGTGAGCCCAATGAGGGACTCCAACTCACAATGCATGAGGTCATGACCTGAGTCAAAGTTATATACTTAACTGACTGAGCCATCAGACACCCATGCATGTAAGTTTTAAATATTTTCCATATCTTTTTTTTTCTTTTCTGAGTTGACCTAATTCTCAGGCAGATTTTTATGTCATGGCAAAGATGGCCACCAGAAGATCCAGTCTTAGGGGCACATGGGTGGCTGAGTCACTTAAGTGTCTGACTCTTGGTTTCGGCTCAGATCATGATCACGCAGTTCATGGGTTCAAGTTCCAGCGTGGAGCTTGCCTGAGATTTCTCTCTCCTTCTCTCTCTGCCCTTCTTCTTCTCTCTCTGTCTCTCAAAATAAATAAACTTAAAAAAAATAGAGGTTTATAGTCCAACCATATAAATAACCCCACAGGAACAGGAAGGAGCCTTCCACTAAACTGCTCACAGAGGCTACAGTCCCAGAATTTGCTCTCATGGCATCCTGTGGATGTTTGCCATGTATGGTCTCCTAGTGTTTTCCAGTACACTTTCTATCTAGGGTGAACTGTGATGCTTGTCAATTCAAGGGAGAAGCAGATATTCTTTGTCCCAGCCTCCTCAACAGCCATGGTTCAGGGATGCAACAGGCAGCTTCAGTTAGAGAGAGAACTATATGAGGAAGCAGGCAGCGTGCAAAGTCAATTTTCTGGTGATGGTCAGGGCTAAGGTGTCTGACACTGGAAGAAATAGTTGCAGAGACTCTGATGTTTGGTACTTGACGTCAACCATTCACGCTATGGTATCTAGTCCCGTAGCAGCAGTTTGGCTTCTCTGGAACAATCCTGAGGTTCTAAGCCCAACTCTGGTCCTTCTAGATATTCTGTGAGCTGCCTGAGGACCTTTGCTAATCCACTTTTTGGCTTGAACTTGCTAGTGATAAGGTAAGCCCCTGGTCAGATGCACCATCCTTGAATGAATCACTGTGGCCACATCTTACTCATTTTCCCAGCCCTGAAATTAATGCTGAGACAGTCCTGCATAAATCACCTAGTCGAGGAGGGGAAGGGTGAAGGAGAATGGAGATCACTGATCCAAGAAGGGGGAGGTGATGCTGAGTATGCAAAGGTCACAGATGTCTACTTCTTCCCTTCTTCTCAAGGGCTGTCTTTAGTGTCGTGAGGCACCAGTGGGCAAGCTCTTTAATCCATGGTCTGCTTCTAATAGATTTTCTTTTCAAAGCTGAATTAAAGAATACATTTCCCCCATCAGCATCTCCTTAAGGGGCTCTCATGTGTACTTCAGCAGCCTTGGCTTACCTCCTTCTCTAAATGGAGGGTCATACTGCACAGCTTGGGGTCAGAGGGTGTGTGTGTCATTGAATTCTTTTACTCTCTCCAGCCAAGAGTTAGCTGCTGTTTGCCCACAATAGAATGATGGAATTAAAGGAAATCTGGTCATTGCAGCCACCATAGTGTGTAAAGAAACAGGGGAGAGAAGTGAGACACTTAGGGTTAGCCACAGTTATGCCACTTCCTAGCTGTTTAGGAAGGACACTGCCCTCTCTAGAACCTTCATTTCCCAGCTGAACACACTAGTGGTGTGTTCACTAGTGGGTGACCTAGTCCAGGGCTAGCTGTAACAGGTCAGAAATCTAGAGAGCTCAGAAGTAAAACTATCGGTACTCTAGTGACATCTGCTGGTTGCCCTGATTGTAAAACCTGAACGTTTATTTTTGGATGCCTGATTTGTTTCATTGTGTTGAATTTGAGAATCTTGCTTATACTATACAGGGGACATGTTTTGCTGTTTTATTTTTACTGTGTTTTTATGTCTACTAGACACTACCCTTAGGAACCAAGCTTTCAGCGTTATTATTAAAGCAATATTATTAATAAATCTGATTTTTTCTAGAATTCTGTGCCATATGAGTTGGTGGTTTACCATATCCCTAGGGGGCATCATAGGCTTCTTGTTAAATGAAGCCCAGAGTTTCCAGATATGTTAACTTACGTTATTCTCCTTAGAAATACAAGAAAAGCGATGCAGTGGAGAAACCGTGGTGTACTGGCAAGTGAAGTACCCTTTCCCCATGTCCAACCGGGATGTATCCTTTCAAAAGGCACACCACTACTTGGCTTTCATGTGCTTTTAATCTTTTTTCTTTTTTAAGTTTATTTATTTTGTTGGGGCAGGGCAGAGAGAGAGAGACAGAGAATCCCAAGCAGGCTTGCTGTGAGGAAAAAGTACGAGTCCAGGGGGAAGAAGCCAGAGCCAAAGCAAATTCCTTTCTACTGCCAAAACATTAAAGACCTTCACTCGTCAGTCCACAGAGAGCAGGGGTAACAGCCCATCCACAGGGCACCTGAGGGAGGGCTGGGGCCACTGTGGGTGTGGGTGCCACAGAGACTCTGAGGTGGCATGGTGCTATGCCTGTTGCTGTTGCAGTAAGTACAATGTGTTCTACTCAGTGTGATTTTTAAAAAATTGTTTAGGCTTTGAATCCCTTCTAGTATGAAACCTAAAATTCTGTTGCAGCCGTTATAGGTATGAAAGTCTAACTAGGTTTTGGAGCCAGATCTGGGTTTGCATTCAGATTCCAGTTGGGCTATGGGATGTTTGGCAAGTTTCTTTACTTCTCTGAGCCTCAAATTTGTCCTCTGTAGGATGGGGATACTTGCACTGAACTCACAGGGACCTGTGTTGATCTCAGGACCAAAATGGATGCTATACCTAAAACATATGGCATGGGCTCAATAAATCATAACTCTCACTGTTTCTGAGGGTTAAATTATCTTTCCTAGAATAGTGTCTTAGACATAGTGGCTGTTCTATGAGTGTTGATTGAGATGAGTTGGATTTGTTATTCTTGGTGAACCAGTGCTAACTCAAAGAGGACAAGTACCTACTAATACTCAGTGCTCATATTTCTTCCTGTGATCAGTAGGTGTAAATAACATTGCTTGACCATCCTCTGTGCATAGAGGTCAGCAACTAGAGCTCTGAGGGAGAGCAGGACAAAGTGGAATGACCCCAGTGTTTATGGGGTGCCTGTTCTTCCCTGGTTTCTCCAATGTCTCCAACAAGCATGCCTGTTGAGCAATGTAACCCCCTTTCCTACAGAGGGAAACTTAACCTAAGAAATAGTGAGTAACTAATGCAGAATCACACTGCTGATGAGTGATCAATCCTCTGATGTCTCACAGTGCCTTCTTTGAGAAAGGAGGAGAGGTCTCTTTATATAATTAAAAGCATCAAGGACTCATTCACAGGTAGATAAAGCATGCTGTCAAATGAGAATATTAAGCAGTATGGGACACAGTCTTGCAGAGCAGGCAGAGAGACAGGGCAGGTAAGTGAAGTAACAATGTAAGGGGCAAATGCTGGGTGGGAAGAACAGAATCATCTCCCTTTGCCTCTGGCTTGTGGGGTTTCCTTCTGCCAATCTGTAATGCTGGCATTGACATCATGCCTTGACTGGCAGTATAGTTCGTCTACATACGAGAGCATCAAGAGCTGGATATGGAAGGGCAGAAGATCCATGTGGTCCTGGCCCAGAGCACTTCTGTGCCTCAGTTTCCTGAGAGGTCTGGTGTGGTCCGGGTAAATCAGTATAAGCAGAGCCTGGCGATTGAGAGTGACGGCAAGAAGGGGAGCAAAGGTAAGGCAGGGTGCATGGTGGTGCACTGACTCGGCCACTGTATCGAGATCATGCTGATTGTGAGGCATGTAAAGGGCATGGTGCTTATTCCCTGAGGTCAGAGAATGGGCACAGGTACAAGACGAACAAGGGGCTAACACCTGGAGAGAGACTCCATTGTCTCCCAGAAACCTGAGTGCATGGTGGACGTTCAGATCTGATTCAAACCATTTTGTCCTGACTCTTGCACTGTCCAGATGAAACCAGAACCAGAAGGTTTAGAAACTCATTTCTGGTTGGTCCTCAGGATACATATGTTGGGCCTGAGGGTGGGCAAGAAGGCTGGCAGGTCTTTCTCTGAGGATGCAGCTCCTGCTCAGCAAAAGGCCAGAGACTCAGGACCTGCCTGCCTGGAGTTCAGACCACGTGGAGGAAACCTCGGAGCAAGTAGGGGCACTCAGCCACTTGCAGTGCTGAAACGAGTGTGGCCTTGCGTGTGAGGCAGAATCTGAACCTTGGTTCTGACGCTTTTCAGATCTGTCACCTTGGACGTGCCACCTACTCCCTCTGAGCCTCCATGTTATCATTTATAAGCTCAGGTTTAATCTTCCCAACTCCATTGTATCATGAAGATAATTAATGAGAGATGATTAAATGAGATCCTATGTCCAAGTGTTGAGTATGTTGCTAGGCATTCAATGAATAGCAGCAAAATGTGCCTGTGACTATGATTTCAAAATGTTTACATATAAATATTCAGGGAGACAGCAGAGAAGTCCTCCTGAACACTGTGCTCCCTCCCTCCTTACTTGCTGAATTTAAAGGGGATGGTTGGCAGGGTTTGTTTTCATCTTTCTAACATTTTTCCTCCTCCTGAATTGTCTTTTCTTTCCCCTCTAGTTTTCATGTATTATTTTGATAACCAGGATCTGCAAATTCCGACCTGGATCATTAACAACTTCGTCAAGGTGAGATCCCAGGAGGCAGGAGGGGGAAGTGTGCTTGACAAATGTTGACTTAGTCCAAGGGGCTGTCAGGCTGAAGAGATGTCCTGTCTCAGGCCTAATGAAGCTCTTTTATGAAGCAGCTTGTTGAGTGACTACAGTGAGGACTGAGGATGCCAACACCCAGGATGTGGAGGCTGGGAAAAAAACACAGAATCCTTAGCTGGAATGTCAGACCCTCCCTGCCAGCACAGCCTGCTGGGATCACTGTCTGGATCCTCCCGACAACAGCCTGCTCCTTGTAGGGAAAATGGGGCCTTTGGACCCTGCCCTGCTTCTGGAGGAGCCTGGAAGGCTGACCTGGCTTGAGAGACAACCAGAGGTGTCCAAGCCTGGAAGCCCCCGGTTTTGTTACTGCTGTTGTGTTTTGTTTCTCTGTAAGGAGAGGGAAGTGCAGTGGTCCTGGATCGCTGCAGACTGCCTGGGGACTTGGCTTGATGGGACTCATTCAGCCTGCTTTGGAGGAGTCCTGCTTCCTGATGGGAGGGCTCAGCACATTCCCTGGGAGAGTGAAAAGCACACACGCTTTGAGTCAAACACAAGATTTTGAGACCGGGCCCTGCTTCTGTGTGTGTACTCTAGGGAAGCCATCAGTTTCTTCCCATTCAAAAATGGAGATGGGTATTACTGACCCTGTAGAGTAGTAGTATGTAAGGCAGTGTCTGGGGAAAATCTTGTACGATATTGAACACCGACTAAATAATAATACACCCTAACCCTTTGCCCCCACAGCCTCGCCATTGTCTAATTATGTGAAATAAGTCCTTTCTGTGATTTCTGAGGAAGAATCCCAGAACCCAACCTAATCCCATATCCTGTGTTTTTTCTTTCCAAAAAATGGTGTCTCAGAAACATCTTAGCTTTTTACTAGCAAAAGCCAAGACATACAACATTGTCACCTGCCGTCTATTCTCGCTTGTTCCTTGGGTCTTCTGTCATCTGCAGCAACGCGGTGTTGAAATCAGACAGGGGCTCTGTCATATTTATTATTCCCAAGGCCATCTTTGTTTACCTTTGCCACATCCCACAGAATCAGCAGTAATGTATGTGAGGACTAGAAGTGACAAGTCTCCTTTGCTTTGCAGAATAATGCTCATGAAGTCCTGAGGAGGATAGAAAATGCCTATCAAAACTACCGAGGGTAACTTCAGTAAGGGCATCATGTGTTTGTGTAATGAAGTCTCTGGAAGTGCCGCAGCCCAGTGATGTGCAGCTTTCCTTTCCCACTTCCACCTTCAGAGGCTGGCACACTGTCTCGCACATCGTCCCCAAGTGTGTTTGCTGATGCCTGGCTTCTTCTCCCAGTTTCCCCACCCTGGGACTGGCTGCCTTCTTCCACTATTGAATGTGGGTCAGATGAGGGAAATTCTGCTGGTTTATTTTTAAAAAGGGAAGTCCTCAGTGGGGAACACAATCACTCCATTGTGCCATTTTAGGGGGGTTGGCAGTGGAGAAACGACAACAAATGCAAGGGCAGCCGATCCTGGCAAGCTGGCTCCTTCCAGAATGTGACCTCTTGCAACCCAGGAGGGGCTGCTGGGACACCATTCCTTTCAGAGTGGTCTCCTGGTGCCTCAGAATGGGAGACAGGTGCTGATGTCCATCTGTCTGATGCTTTGGTGTGTTGATTTGGCCAGGTCTGAGGTGATAATCTAGCAAGTCTCTCCATTATTTGTACTTGTGGAAGATCGTGAGCTATTTTGATTTCAAACTATGTTGAAACACATGGCAGGCCTGATTAAGCACTTGATGTGGTAGCCATGTTTTCTCATCACCTATGTCTGGGATTCTCTTTCCCACCTGCCACTGGAGAGAGGCTGACCAGACCTCACTAGCTCTGCATTGTATCAGAAACGGAGGCATCATGATGCTTCTCACTGGTAGTTTGCAAAAATCAAGAAGGTGTGCACACAGCTATGATAAAGTGACTATATATGCAATAATATGACTTTCTCTTCTAGTATGTTTGGAGATATTGAAGGGATAAGTGTTCACATCCAGGGAGATATTAATTAGTGGACTGTTTGACTCTACAACTTTTTTCTCAGGAATTCTACCTAACATGTCTGCTTCTTCTACCACTAAAGACTTCCAGTTTCCTTTTTTCTCCTGAAATTTGTAGAGCAAGTTATTCTGTAGCTAAAGACATAGCCTTCATGATCTCAGGGAAAAATTTTAACCATTGTGTATGATGCTATTGAACCTTGATTAGTGGTCATAGAAATTCTGCTTGAAGCAGAAGATTTATTAATATTTATTTATTTTCTTATTAAAATGGGATACTTCAGACTGTATATTTTCTTTCTGGAAAGGAAAATAGATTGAATACCAATAAATACAGAGTGACATGAAGTTGTCCTGTTTGCAATTGCTTCCTACCTTATTCCTTTTGTGAGAATGAACCAGTTGGGTCTCTTTTCTTTGCAAGGCACATCCAACCTAACTAATGAACTTGAACATAAAAAAGAATTTTAGGTGCACTTACATGCAAGACCAGGTGTAGGGTGGCCTCAGGTCGGGGTTGATATTAGAATGATATTAGAATTTGGCTACGTTTGTCTTCAGGTTATCTTTGATGTTGGACTGTGTCTGGTGGCAGGATTGCTGCTGACAGCAAAGGGTAGGCCCACAGCTTCTCAGGCTCTTGCTGAGCCAAAGAAAGGCAGGATTTCTTTCCAGTAGATCCCACACCATCCTGTGACTCCCTCTCAACCATGTGCCTGTCCCTTCTCAGTCACTGTGGTCATATGGATAGACTTATCCAAGTAGTGAATACCTCATAAATTTACCATTAAAAATCATTATCAGTAATATAGCTGGAATTTAAGTTTAGGTAACTGAAATCTAAAAGTCTCTTGTAACAGAGGGTCAGGTGTAAATTTTAAGTATAGAGGAACTGAAACACAGGCACTACGATCACAGTCTTTGAGCAGAGAATCAACATGAAATGGTGTCCTGCAAACCATATCTTTAAACAGTTTTTAATAATTTGCTAAGGACTCTGACAACACTAAGAATATGGAGTTTCTAGGTAAAGTAGTTACAAAAAACAGTCACAGAGTTTGGGATAATTAGTAGCATTTTGACTCTTTGGCATTTATGTGTGCTAATTTGGAGGAGACAGTCCTAAATGGGATTGAAACATGAGGTCATGTGGGAAACTGAGAACCCATGAGCCAAAAGTAAATGCCAGAGGTGCAGAAAATGTAGAACTGGTGCTTCGAGGTTGCCCCTGATTCCTCAGTGTATGCCACTCCACGTTCCCGCATGCATCGCTTGGAATTTGAAAGTTATAAAGATACGGTCATTCCTCTAGCACTTTGGTTCACTTATTCTTTTCCATGTCTGCCTCTCCAATACACAAGAAGACCTCTGTGGATAGAAACAGTTATTTAACTTTGATCACTGGCCCCTAGGGTTCTAGATAGTAGGCACTCAAGTACATGAGTGATTGACTTAGAGAGATGGACCAAATGACACACTCCCTGATGGCCAAGCCCATTTGGATATGGAGGTTTAATTCACTTACATTAAACAACAGTTCAGGCCAAATTATTTCCCTAAGTCATCATTACTTGTGGAGGCGGCTCTAGATTCCTCAGGTTCCCATTGGTCCTTTATTTCTTAAGGGGTGGCTTTGCTGGTGTGGTTAAGGATTACTTTTTAATGTTACAGAAATGGTACAGTCTGGACTGGGTCCAGCTGAGATTAGTCAGGATTTCAGGATTTGAATGAAAAATAAAATAGCACTACTGTTGGAGCTAAATTATTTCCACAGGTGAATTATTCACATTGCATAACAATTCAAAGTTGTGGGCCACATTGGAATTGAGGGGTTCCTGTAAAGGGTCACCTCCCTTGAAAACGTTCCTATTTCACAAGGAGTGTCCTGGCCTGGCTCCCTGGCTCCTCACCCAGAGTCCCCATCTATAATGCTTCTCCTCCAAACCTCCTGCTTCCCAGCTGGATTTGGAAGAGACACAGCAGGAAGAGCCCATTCAGTTCCCATGTTTCTGGTATCTCCGCTCAGTTGGCTCGGAGAATTACCCTTAAAGCTCTGAGACATGCATTCACTGATCAGCTATTTCTTGAGTCTAGTGTCCACCCAGCAAGGGACCAACATGGCAGTTCTGTGATGAAGGAGACAGGCTTGGTGTCTACCCTCACAGAGGTCATGGTCTAGTGAAGAAGACACAGTGTACAAGCTGTTGAAAGACTGATGAGTTTTGAGAAAGGGCAATAAAGGGTGCCAGAGGTGGTAAAACAGGGAGAGCACTAACCGAGTTGAGGGGTCAGGAAAGAACATGTAGTGGGCTGTGTGAATGTTGGAGAAGAAACCTCATCTGCACAGAAGGAGCCGTTTGCTTAAATCTCCCCTGGCAGGAGAGCCCATCACATGTGAGGAAATACCAAGGCCAGTATGGCTGGAGCAATGGCACTGAAGGAGAGGCGTCTCATGTGAGGCTGAAGCAGGCAGTCAGACGAGGGGGTGATTGTGAGGGCCATGGCAAGGGGTTTGGACTCTGTACCCAGAACACCAATAAGCTTGGAAGGATTTTAGGCTGACCTAAAATCAGCAGTGACCTGATGAATTTAATTTTTTTTAAATGTTTATTCGTTTATTTTTGAGAGACAGAACATGAGTGGGGCAAGGGCAGAGGGAGAAGGAGACAGAATCGGAAGCGGGTCATTGCTGACAGTGGAGAGCCCGCTGCAGGGCTTGAACTCACGAATTGTGAGGTCATGACCTGAGCCAAAGTCAGATGCTCAACTGAACAAACCATTCAGGCGCCCCGCATTTAATCATTATTAACAGCTGCTCATCTGCCCCCCCCACCCCTCCCCGCGCCGTGTCCTGCTGTGGTTCCTGGTTAGAAATGGGACTGGGTAGGGCAGACTGGGTCCTGGTAGGAAATGGAAATGAATGGGGGCAGACTGGGTCCTGCTAAGAAACCGGATCGGTTTGTGGCTGTACTGGGTCCCGCTTAGACACCAGACCGGGTAAGGGTGGACCGGATGGAGGTGGATTCGGTTCCGTTTAGAAAGCGGCCTGGGTGGGGGTGGACCAGGTCCAGTTTAGAAACCAGATCGGGTGGGGTAAGACGGGAAGTAGGCGGACTTAGTCCACCCTTGAAAGGGGGCCAGGTGCGGGCAGAGTGGGGCCAGCGTGAGGCCTCAGGTGAATAAAATGTTGTTTTAAGGCTGAGCAAGCAAGTTAACCTTAAGGTAATCATGGCTTAAGTGGCCGCAGTGGAGAACTTCTAACCTACCTAAAGCTTGTCCACTTAGGAGGTGCCCTAGAGCCCAGCACCCACATAGGGGCACAAGGAAAAGTATTTTTCCTCCTCTAAAGTTTCTGGTGGCCAGAGTGCGACCCCCTGGGACACGCCCCTCACTCCAGGGCCTGAGGATGGGGGATCCTAACAAAACTGGCAGAAGCCTGTGAAAGGTAAGAATTCTTCACCAGAGTTCGCCCTCCCATTCCCATCTCTGTCTGTGGGGCCTGGCTGAGAGACAAAGGTAAAGTTTCATGTTGTCCCTTCCTTTCTAAATTCGGATTGGCAGGCAAAAAACATTTGTAGGAGTGAGGTCTTTGAATGATGACTGCTGTATGTGCTTTTGTGTACTCACTGGGTGTCAGACCTTTCCCTCACTGGTTATCAGGACGATGTTGTCTTCTTGTTTGTCTCATTTGGTGTCCTGAGGACTTGGCTTGGCAACAGTCAGGTTGGAGACGCTGATAATATAAGCTGTACAGAAATGTGGGATGCTCTCCATGTGTGGCTGGGATCCTACCCACTGTTGCCAACTCTCAGGGGAATGGTCTTTCTCTGGGTTATCTCTGGGAGTGGCTGTGGGTCTTGGAGCATAGGATCTGAGCCTCTGGTCCTTATGGGGTTGTTCATTCATGCTGGGAATATTTATTGCTTGTCCAAGGCTGAAACTTGTCGATCTATGCAAAAGTTTTTTTTTTTTTTTTCTCACTTTTCTTCTTCTTTTTAAAGTAGTTCTGGGGTCAGTCATTGGCCAAACTGGAAGCTGATATTTAGAGCCTGACAAGAAATTTGTTTTAGGCCTTCCCCCAAGATAATTGAAACCATAGAGCCAGAAAGAAGAAAAACATTCTGGCACCTTTGTGTAAGGATTTACTAGAACACTCCAAAGAGATCCAGCTCTGAATCTAGAACATAGGAATCTTCTGATTTCCAACCTAGTTGAAGGTCTCCCTGATGCAAAGAAGTAAATTGAGGATAATGTAGTTGGATGGGTGGGACAGTGTCCATATCATTCTGGTAGCAGCCAGTTCTTTGAGGAATTAAAGGCAATTATGTATATCTTACGAATTGAGTATAAACACAGAAATGTGGTTCTGGAAACAACTCAAAGTCACTTATCTTTTTTGTCAGTCTTCAAATC